GTGTGTGTGTGTGTGTGACTGTGCGCCTGTGTATGTACACGAGTAAATTTATATGCGCGCGCGCGAAGGTGAATTAATATGCACTCAATGAATGTAGATTGAACTTATGATATAGTGATGCTGATCTGTAAAATTGAAGTGTTTTGTGCTCTAACACGAAGTACACCATAAAAAGTTCATCCATGCTCTTACTATTGGTTTTACTTCTCAGCGATATGCCATTTCTTCGAATCCTCAACTTCTCTGGATGTGAGCAGTTACGACGGATTGAGGAAAGGGCACTCGTCTCGTTGGAATATTTGGAACAGCTGGATCTCTCTTACACCAAGATCGACCTCTTGCCACCGTCAGTAGACATGTTTTTAAAATACACGCAGATGTCTTAAAGTTTCATTAACAGAGTGCTATAAAGAAAAACAACTCTATGGCCAAAATTTCATTTAGCTATCGTTGATCGATGGAATCCTCAGTGATGACTTACCATTTTATAGAGTCGGACATCCAATTGTTGGGGTCATCAAGCGTATGATGAGTTTCTTATGCTTTGCATATTAAAAGAATTAATACGTTACTTTGCCTACACCCGGTTGTCTAGTACTTGTTTTTCAAAAATATGTAAAAATCGCTGTGCTTAACTTGTTTAAAAGGAAATGCCATACCATCGTTATGAAATCGTTGCTTTTTCGATGTTGGATGTTGCTCTGTGTCCCTCCGTGATGCCTTTAAATGAGAATTATTTGTTTTCTTGCTTACAGTTTAGAGTTTTCATGGTTGAAATTTTTGGACCTGAGGCACACAGCCATTTCCAAGCTTCGACCCAGTAGTTTTCCAAATGTACTTGAGGTGAGTTCATTTTGAAATCTAAGAATTATACTGTTTAAAAACATTATTTGGTCTCCCATCTTTTTCTCTTTACTAACTAGATGCACATAATAGTGTCTTTGGGCCCGCTGGTGGACTTACCTACACTTTATCTTTTAAGGCTTGTAACTCTTCAATTAAGTGTTGGTAATGAATATATTAAGGAACAGCAGAAAAAATGAAAACTCAAAATACACAAAACAACAACAACAGCAGCAAGAACAACATAAAAAAACCCTTGGTGAAAGTAGAATAACAGCAACAACATAAACAACCAAGCAAATCCAAAACGTCGTAGCAAACAATTTGACAAAAACAATTTTGACTACATGTTTTGTTCCCGAACGTGTAAAAAGGCGGGCAGTACTTTACGTTAACTGTTTGGTTCTTTGGCTCTGTATTGTCCTCATCTGAACCTAAAATCCTTTTAGTTTTAGTTTTAGTGGAGGTTTTACGGCATTCGCAACTGCATAAGGTCATATGAGCGCCAGAAGAGTAGAGGTGTTACAAGAGAGTAACAAACATAAAAAAAAAGAAGGGGAGATAAGGACGATAGATGTTTGATAGGAAAGAAGAAGCAAACCACACCAGAGCACCCGCCAACCACCCACCTAAAATCCTTAATTTCACAGTTTGTATTTATCTATTACTCTGTCAGACTCTCTAACGAAATTATGTCTATTTTTAAAATAAAGTACAACAAACAGCGCGTCTTCCAGCTTTGTCTGTTGATTATAACCATAATGCACGTCATCTATGAGTTAAAGGCGCACGTCTGGGAATACACAGTTATCTAACAGATTTTAACGAAAATGTTCCCCCGAAAAGGATGCTATCCCATTATTTTAGTACAGGCTCATTGAAACCGCTTTGATCTGACGTACAGCGTTGAGTCGTTTCACAATGTTGCTGTGTTTTTGCCGCCGCTGCTGCTGCTTTTGCTGTTGTTGCTGCTGCCGCTGCCGCTGTTGCTGCTGCTGCTGCCGCTGCTGCTGCCGCTGCTGCCGCTGCTGCTGCTGCTGCTGCCGCTGCTGCTGCTGCTGATGCTGATGATGCTGCTGCTGCTGATGATGATGATGATGATGGTGAGAATGATGATGATGATGACGACAAAAACGCTTACAAATTATGATAATCTATTAAAATTTCAGATATTAGACCTCAGAGGTGCGAGAATCATCGAGTTCGAGGCAAACTTATTTAATGGATTTTCTAGATTGAAATCCATCAAAACTGACGTCGATGCAATCTGTTGTCCTTCGGTAAGATCAATGAAAAAGACGGTCCTATCTATCTATCTATCTATCTATCTATCTATCTATCTATCTATCTATCTATCTATACATATCTATCCATCCATCCATCCATCCATCCATCCATCCATCCATCCATCCATCCATCCATTCATCTGTCCATCCATCCATCCATTCATCCGTCCATCCATCCATCCATCCATCCATCCATCTATCCATCCATCGATCCCTCCATTCATCGATCCATCAATCTCTCTATTCATCCATTTTAGTTACCATTCTATTGGTCTCAGCTTATGCTTCTCTCGAAGCACTCTTTCTCCATTCTACAGCTTTTATTCGAAATTTAATCATCCACACACATCACCAATTCTTTAAGTGAACATGATATAAATTACGTCCAAAATAATTTGTTGTGCACAGAAATAAATTTTGATAGAGCGCACCATTGTCACTTAGTAATAGAACAATATTGTTGTCTCGGCTCAATTGTATCAGATCATAATAATTTTCATCCTTTTGCAGGGGTACTTCCATATATATATATATATATATGGCTATGTGTTCTGATGAGGTTCAATGTTCGCCACCTTCAAATATAAAATGAACATCCTGAGGACTTGTAGGATGTTGTGCTGCTGAGACAATAACCATATATTTTATCTTTAAATTTACCTTCATTTATAAGAAAGGTATCTCTTATTGTGTAAGTTTTCTTTGTGAACACAGGTCTTAGGAGTTGATGTACCTATTCAAAAGTGTTCAGCCCCAATGGATGCCATTTCCTCTTGCACAGGTGAAATTGTTAAACTTTCTCCTCCAATAATGTGCTTTTAAAAGACTCTCCATCATCGGTATAGTCGTCGTTAACTAATTCATTGTTCTCATTATCTAAATCGTATTGTCCCTTTTTTGTTACTAATATCCCCTTCTCCTCCTCCTCCCTAGTCTCCTCCCCTGGTACTCCTCCGCCCCCCCCCCCCCATCAACCCCTCCCGTCCCTCCTCTTACGATTAAAAACAAAACTACATTGTGTTTGCAATAGTGTCACTTTTGCTGTCTCTGAAGGGTCTCTACGTTCTAGTTCTTTGTTAAATTCTTTCATCTATTTGTGCACGTATATACAACTGCGGGACCGCCAGATTTGGATATGGAAAAAGGCATAATATATCAACAAAAATAAAACAACCTCTTAATGGTTATGTGAACTTGATTAGACTACCAATTCATTATCCATGGGTTCCGTTTCTCTCCAACGGTGCTACAAGAGGTGACCATTAAAAGGTGAATAAATATACTACCTAGGAGACTCCCTTGTCGCAGACATATATAATTTTTGTGTGTGTCTTGGATCAAAACACAGAGACAATACTGACACATCGACCGCGTTCATCTTTAGAACAGATTGCGTCCTGCACCATTGCGGCATGTAATGTCCCTGAATAACGACCAATCTCAGCGAGAACTAATCAGCCCTAAAAGTTGATGAACTTGAGCAATAGCTAGAAAGAATAAATAGCAGCAAATTCCCCCGCAGTTTCTCCAACAACTTATCTTTTCCATGCGTCGACGGTGTCAAATTAGTCATCAGTGTGGCAAGAGGCCGGTCACATGCTGTGCTAATTTTGTGAATTTGAAAATCGGGGGTCTCAGCTTGTAATGAATTTTTGTGTGCAAAAGAAACGTTTTAATGAAAATAATACATCGTTATGACTTCTTCCTTGATGTGTGTGTGTCGTCTAGAAAAGGAATGGATTTTCTATGAAAAATTGATTTGCAAGTACAGTATATGATTTTTATCAAATATATAAGTGAGTACATATAAACATACATAGGTATATATTATATATAATATATATAATATATAAAATATATATATATTTATAATATATATGTATATATATGGGAGCTCTCATGACCTAGAGATTCCCAGATTCGAATCCGGGTAGCGACGGAACATTTTTCTTCTCTCAAATTGTCTCCTTTCACCTCTTTTTATGCTCTCTAGCAATGTTCTTTCGTCTGCTTTCGTCTCCACTCTTTGTCCTCACACCCTCACCTCCTTTGCTCCTTCCTCTGGGCTCCTGACTCTTTCTGCAGCCTTTCTACTGCTACTCCTTGCCTCCTTCTGGTAGGGAAGATCTACGCCTAGCCTTCTCTGACAAGGGCGAAAAATCTAGTGTACAAGTCGCGCACGTTAAAGATCCCTTGGTGGTCTAAAATCGATAAGAGTAGGCTTCGGCCGCCACCCGGGCAAAATTCAAAATTTCCTACCAATTGAAAATGTTTGATATGTTCCGCGCGCTCAATGACCATAATATTCAGTTGCGAGCACCGTAAAACACTTACAATTTTTTTTTATAACAAATAATAAAAAATAATAATATATTCATTTATTTATTAATGTACTATAATCCTTCCCCTAATATCCTTTAGGGTCGACATTTGAGTTATATTTTTTTTTACAAGAACCCCACACTCTTCAGCTCTCAAAATGCAGACGAATTTAGTATTCCATAAATGATGTGGAACCGGATTTTCATGATTTTCAACGAGTTTATACTCTATAAATTGTGTTTTGGACGAATTCAAAGTCAGGGTTATGTCGTGGGGTTTTGTCTTTTTTTCTCTCCCTTTACCTTAGCGTTTTTTTTTATTCATGATAGATATTTTGATGAAAAAAAGTCTTGTTCAAAATCATGTTTTCTACGTACCCTTTCCCATCCTACACAAGACATTGTTATCTGTTCGTTGCAACATGCCAATTCCTGCTAGTTTGTACAAAATGACATAAGTTTACAATTTCCTCTTTTTCCAGACCTGATATCGGATCCATTCATGCGTCTGTTGCTGTGGTTTGTGGGAATGACTGCCCTTGTCGGGAACATCGTCACTCTAATCTACCGCTTTATTTGGGAACGAGATGTCTTGGCAAAACCTTATGGGAAATTCGCCACTAGCCTAAGTACGAACGAACAGTAGACATTGCAAAAATCGTGTGTTTATATAGGGCTTGGGAAAAATTATGCAATAGACGTTATTTCTATTTTGTATTAATTGGATATCTCGACTTTTATCCAAACAGTTCAGTTCTCTCTCTTGTTCCCTCTTTCTCTCACTATCTCTCTCAACCCCCCCTTCTCTCTTTCTCATACTCTGTCTTTCTCCCACCCCCTTTCTCTCTCTCTCTCTCTCTCTCTCTCTCTCTCTCTCTCTCTCTCTCTCTCTCTCTCTCTCTCTCTCTCTTTCTCCCTCTCTTAGTTTCTCTCCCATTCTCTCCGCTCCTCTTTCGCTATTTGTCTGCCTGTGTGTTTGTCTGTTTGCCTGCCTATTTGTCTTTCTATGACAGATACTATTACAAAAAACGTTTTTTCATGGAAAATGAGTTTCCACATGAACATAGACAACGTCATTAGGAAGTCCTTGACTAGGACCACCCCGACAACTAGGGTAACGACAGCATTACAAAAGATTTTGCCACTGAAAGTTCAATCGTCTTTATTCCAGTAATATGCATTGAACGTTTTGAAAGTCTTCTCTTCAACAACGATGACTTCTTCTGTTTCATTCATCTTTCAGGTTTGGCGGACGTGCAGATGGGTGTATACCTCATGATCATCGCCTGGGCCGACATTTCATACCGTGGAGACTTTGCCTGGAGCGAGAACAAATGGAGGGAAAGTGACACATGCAAGTTTGCAGGATTTCTCTCTATTCTCTCCGGGTCAGTGGCACACATTCGTTACTGACGTATATCTGATAGTCAGATTCGAAAAGTTGAAATTAATTATCCGCCTTCGTACTGCGTCAACATTGTCACAGAACACAGTAAAGTCCTTATGATTTTATGTCGATTCTGAAACGGGTCAAAGCTCGTGAGCTTGAACAAGATGTTTTGGACTGTCTAACGTAGAATGGTCTTGCTGATTTAAAGAAACTAGCTAACTTGTCATGTGTTTTGCCTTTCCTGTCAATTTTTACACTGATAATAATAGCATCGAAAAAGACCATGATGATGGTGATTATCAGTAACACCTGGTCAGTAGGAAGAGAGAGAAAGGAGGGGGGGGGGGGAGAAATTATTATCATATTATCATTATTATTGACTAGTTTTTTCATCTTTAAACTATTTGAATGCAGACTAATCTGTTCCTGTCCTCAGAGAGGCCTCAACAATCTTTGTGGTTCTGATCACTCTGGAACGATTCTTAGTCACCAAATACCCGTTTGGTGAATATCGGATTTCAACTCTTGCTGCATACTTGTCAAGCCTTGGAGGTTGGGTACGTCGTTGCTCCCTTTTTGTACTGATTTTATCTTTTTGTTGTTATTGTTTAATCAGCTGCCCCTGGTTTCCTTACTTTCACTTTAATGCCATATGCTGCTGCAAGTGGAATTTTTAAAATAGATTTTTTACAATGTTGTATAATAAAATAAAAAAATAGCAGGGAAGTGTGCAACGGTGCTTATCATAAATTTGTAATAGATGATTTTACTCATGTACTCATACTAACTCTTTTGTATAGAAACACCAGTCAATGGGTAAATCCAATTTTATAGTCTTTTGTAGCTTTCTCACTGTCTCTCTAATATGCCAAAATAATTTAAAGAACCTATATCTATTTCCTTATCTGTTTACTCTAGAATCGCGTGTGACCACACAGCAATCGGTTTATCTCTCCATGTAACAGTTTTATGAAATTTATTTTCTTCTATTTGTTTAACAATATATCTGCCTGTCTATCTCCCTGTCTGCCTGTCTGTCAGTCAGTCTTCTGTGTGTTTGTCTGTCTATCTGTCTGTCTGTCTGTCTGCCTGTCTCTCTGTCTTTCTGCCTGCCTAATATCAAAGTTATTACTTCTTCAGTGCACCAGCTTTCTTATCGCCGCTGTGCCTTTCTTCCCTGGCCACGAGGATTGGGTTCTGTTCTCGGCCAGCAGTCTCTGTCTCGCTGTTCCTTTGGACAACGGTCAACACCCCGGCCGGATCTTCTCCACGGTGGTATACATGGGCATCAACTTTGTCATGTTTGTGCTGCTAGCCGGTGGGCAGTGGGCTATTTACAGGTGTGTTCTATGATTGTTGGTTTATCTAACATTTAGGAATGATAGGTAAATAATAACCCCCACAAACCACAAGTCAACCTGGGTTTTCGAAAATACAGAACTGAGAATTTTGTTTTAATATTTTATTATGTGAAAGGAAAACCACTGTACAGTAAAACCCGATTTGAAAAAAAAGAAAGTTTATAGATCTGACTAGACAGCGTGCATTGGCCAAGAAAGTGAATATCTTAGTAGATCCAAAGATTGTAACAGTGTGTCAAGAAAAGCAACGGGGAGAGAAAGAGAAAGAGAGAGAGAGAGAGAGAGAGAGAGAGAGAGAGAGAGAGAGAGAGAGAGAACGAACAACATACATAAAATTATAATTCTTCTTCATGCAGGGCTATGTCAGCGAAATCCAAAAGTACATTCGTCGGAATATCGGCGAGAAAAAGTCGGCGTCGTGAGATTCAAGTGACAAGACAACTCTCCCTGATCGTAATTAGCAACTTCACGTGCTTTTGTCCTATTGCACTTATGGGTAAGACTTTGAATTTATATAATAATCCTAAAATTATTAAAACAAACAAACAACAGAAACACTAGGTTTCTAGAAAGTACCGTTAAATGAGTCGAATATGTTTCTGTAAAAAGAGAATGTTACTGAAGCATGGGGTTCAGATAAAAGTATAAAACTCCTCAGACAAGAAAAAAGCAAACTTTTATGAGCTTTTGATTCAATACATGAGCGTTCCTACCATCTCACACCATTTAATTTGACAAAGAAATAAAGGTAGTTTTTATGCAGAATTTTTAGACATTTGTAGCTTATTCAGTTAGAGTGATGAATACCAAAATAGTTCTTATCACTCGGTGTAATGATCTGAGTTGAAGTTGATAAATGAACAAGACTAATGCACACACTTTTTCTAAATAATTAGGATAATATTTAAATAGAAATATTTTTCATTTCAGAGAATTGATCAAAATTGATAAAATAGGCACAGACTGAAACTATGCACACGCACATCTCTAATCTTTTCACTATAACTTTCTCCACAACATATTTAGGCATTACATCCTTAACTTACTCTAGCTTTGTAATATTTTCAATACATTATATATTATGGACATGACACTGACTACGGTTATTGGTTATTTATTGCGTTTTAGAGTTCAATAACTAATTCGTGTTAAGGCATGCCTAGGCTCTCTAAACTGAATCTATGTTCCTAGGCCTGCTGCAGATACTGAAGGGTGTGGACAACATGCAGGGCGCCTATGTGTGGACGGCTGTCCTCATATTGCCCATCAACTCAGCCCTCAACCCCCTCTTGTACACACTGCCAAGCATAAAGAACAAATGGGTACGAGTCTTTTCTGAAGCTCATAGTTGCTTACTGGATTTGGAGACATTTTACAGAGAATTGAATTATTGATACTTTTCTTGAACTGACTTTTCAGGACTGACAAAGAATGAAGTCAATATATGCAACTTGTTCTCTATGTCTTCTCTCTTAATGTTATGATACTAGACGGCAAAAGTCTTATAAAGTCCCACCCCTAGATGGTAACTACTGTATAAATTGATACACCCATACACATTTACACCACTTACAAAAGAAAAGGAGCAAACGGAAAATGAATGTAAAAAAAGGGGACGCCTCCCATTAAAAAACGGAAAACAAAACAAAACGAACAAAACCATAACTCCATTTTCTCTTAAACCAAATTAAAAAAACACCCAGAGTTTACAAATGTCTCTGCTTTAAAAAATGGAAAACAAAACGTTAACTTGCACACAGATACTCTTTTACAAGGACAATTATCTGCGCTCTAATGTAATCATTTGTACACAGATAGTATAATGTTTAGGTCATTTCGTTACATTGATAACATGATGTAAAATATTCTTTTTTCTTTTTGTGTATTAGCTGAATTCACAGATAAAATCTTTTGTCAAGCACTGTCTCTGAATCCGTGTTATGAACAATTAATCAATACAACGAAAAACAAATTTAAAAGAAAAAAAAAGAAAAATATCGGCTTAAAATGTGACTTGATCGAGGACAAATGGGAGGGAGAGCCCTTGGACACGAAACAGGAATTGAAACTTTATAAGTTTTCTTAGCTTAAGTACAAGTTATGACTATTTAATACAATTTGCCCTGAATGTGCCCGTTGTATCCTTCCCAGAAAATGCACCGGAAGCCGAAAGATATGGAGACTGAGAGCAAAGGTAAAAAAAAGGTCGATACGGTTTACAACGGGACATAATGGAGACAAGTGGAAATTAAGAAGAGGGAAGGGGAAGGTGTAGATTTTGCTCACTGAATATTGCTTTTACTGTTCTCTCTCTCTCTCTCTCTCTCTCTCTCTCTCTGTTCCGTTAAAAAGTTGTTTTTTTCAATTGAAGAACCTTGTGTCTGCCTCTTTATTTGAGTACTTGCCTTCATTTTCTATTTATCGCAGAAACTTTAAAAGAACTTTTACAGGAATGTTCTCCAAATCGAAAAAAGCGTTTTGGTCAAACAGTAGTGGACGGCCCCCCCCTCAATATCTGTAAACATTGTTATGACATGCATTTTGCATAACATTTTAATCTTCTTGAAAGACTCTAGTATGATGGAAGGTTTTAAATTATTCTTTTAAAAAATCAATTCCAAGGATCATAGAGAGCGACTTAACCCCTGAACCAGGCTATAATCAATATTTTCCAACCAGGAATACTATCCTGTCCTCTGTCCTTTCTTAAAATGACTTTTGTGCATCTTAAAAAAAGATGATTATTAGTAGCTATTTGCAGTTTTTCTGGGATTTTTCTCCTAATAAAATATATGAGGCTAACGTAATACAACTCAAGGTATTTAATGCATAAATGTTGTCTATGAATCAACAAGGAAATGCGTAAGACTGATATTTTTCAAGTTAATAACTATCCATATAAAAACACCCCCATCGTTTCAAAATGTGTAATGTTTTGGGCTCAGGCTCACTGGCTGTGCAGATCATGTCATCGCTTTCTGGTAGGCCTACTGACAAGCAGAAGACTATATTTTTAGCAGAAGTGAATTATTTCTGATTCATTGTCGAGGAGGAGCCTGTTAATGAAAAGCAATTAAGCATGCTGTCACTTGATAATGCTTGGATCTAATTACCCCCCACCCCCACCCCCACCCCCGACACACATAAATATACCGTACCCAGACGACACAACTGAAAAGTCAACTTCGTTGGATGGGATCCTGGATTCTCCAGAGGGCATTATCAGGTGTCTTAGTCGAACTGCCAGCCGTGTGGGCTCCTCTGATCTGAATCAGCAGCAGGTTGTTATCATCATCATCATCATCATCATCATCATCTTCATCATCATCATCATCATCATCATCATCATCATCATCATCATCATCATCATCATCATCATCATCATCAAGATCTTAAAGTAGTACCTCTAATATCTTTGCCGTGTAGCTTTAGCTTTGCACATGGATTTGTGAATATCTCAAAATGATGGATAAATAAAATTTGACATATTTAGTTTTTCCAATCAAATGCACACGTAGTATTTTCAAAATGCCACATTTTGGTTTGAAATGCCTCATTTGAGCTTTAAAAAGCCCCACAGTAGTCTCAAATATAAACACAAATGCTTAAACATGAATATAATTACAGACTTCATATGTAACAAAATGTGTAATGCAAATGCCGCACAACAACTTTAAATGTTCGAGTAATACTACTTAAAAGGGGAGGGAATGACATTATGTTAAACAAAAGTTCAGTAAGGCTATTACATTATAACTCTTGCCAAGCACGCAAGCACATAATATGCCTGCAAGGCCCTGAAAGCTGCTTGCATGTTAGGCAAAATACATTTAATTCCCAAATTTCTCATGTGATTTAGAAGGCGTCATTAATTTGTCTTCTCGTCTGATTTTTTAAATATTAGGCTGGCATCTTTGCAATTTTACAAGGGTCTGGATCTTTAGAGCTACTCTTGTGCTTGTCTTTCAGCGTAAGCTTAGGTGATATTATGACTTCGCGAAAGAAGTGTTTAGAGACCAACAAGCTGTTACAGCATTATTTATTGTAGTTACAAAGTGACACGTAATTGAACTTTAAAAAGATGACCCACTTGAAATTGAAAATTGCATGCACCTGATTCATAACATGAAGCTGCCTATTGTCCTTTGTACATTTGGGGTTACAACGTGGCCTTATTTTACATTGTAGCATTTGCATTTACAGTGTGGCATGTGAAAACTCTAGGTGTGTATTTGATTGAGAAATAAATAAATTATTATCAGTTTTTTTTGCGGGGAAAATATTTGTATTTCGAAAAAATTCGTCATTTTTTTCACCATTATATATTATGTGAAAACATCCGTTTCCTTTATTAGAAGGAAATACCAAATTGCCTCATCACGCACCGTTATCCATTTTTTACTTCCCATATTCATGTAATAATTTTTATGGTTGTCAGGTGCTAGCGATACATGTGCTTTCCTTTTTCATTCTTTTTCGGTCTTTCCTCTCATCATATAGGTCAATTTGACCCGGAGATGGGGTATGACAGTTCAAATAGTTTTTCACTTCTTCATTAATTATAATTGACAAAAGAAAACTTGAATTCCAACGAAAATGTATCGTTAAAAAATAACTGTATTCTTTCAGGTAAATGCGCTGATGGATCTCTGGGACAGTCTTGGTAGAACTCTGGAGAAGGCATCTTTTCAGTCAACAGCGGAGAATAGCGAGAAGAGACACTAAGGATATAGGAATGCGTGCTGATTTCCTTCATTTACCAGAGTCGATCTTTGAAACCACCATGAACCCTTTTATCTACTGAATTGGTGTTATAGTTCGATAAGAATTGCAAATTGTGTTTTATTAAATTTAAGTGGTATGTTTTGTTCAATTGTTTTAATGTCTATGGAAATAGATTTGTTTGACAAGTTCTGGGTATTTTTGTAGTGTGGCTGCTAAATTTAAGAAAAGATGAGAAATATATTGTACTTTATTGCCCAAGTGGGAAACTTTCTGTTGCTGGACAGGAATGGTAAAAAACACAAGTAAGTATAAATATGAATTAAATATAGGAGAGGCATTGTGGTGAGATCAGGTGATCGTCAAAGCAATGAAATCACGAATTTTTGTTAATGGGTTCACCACCTTTTATGTCTTTTTGAAAATATATTTCGGTGTTGATTTTTACTGAAAAACGTTGACAGAAGGCATAAAATTGTTAATTTTCAGTTTCTTAGTACTCTTAAACTTTGGAAATCAGCAAACGTTAACGGCCATTTACGTACTCGCTAATTTTATCTCTGAAACCAGGCGACCCCCATCTCCTTCAATGCAAATACATTGTATCTCGACTTCTGCTCAAGGTAGATGAGTATTTTTTTTCCACCGAAAGCAAGATACATGAACAGGCTTTAAGATGATACCAACAACTCAATATGCCCAAAAATTGACGAGCGCCTGATTCCACTACGTCGTGACACATTGTATATCTCATAAAAAATTTCAATGTGAAGGGTAAAATAAAGATGACAATATTATAAATTTGTCACATCGTTTGCACCTTTCAAACCATACGCAGGAATTTCTTACAGATTGTGAAAGTAGCACAAATATATTCGTATGATATAGTGTGCGCATAGATTAAAAATAACAAACTCAGTGGCATTACACATCAATGTTTATTTTGATAGCAGCCTTCTCGCGGACTGTACTTAACGTCTTTAGCATTTTTTCCTTTATTGTTTCTTGGTGACATGTTCCATTCGGCGTCGGTGGCCTAGTGGTTAGGCTCTCGGACTCGCAACCGTAAGGTCGTGGGTTCGAATCCCGTCAGGGGCCCGACGTTGTGTCCTTGGGAAAGGCACTTTACACGAATTTTCCTCACTTCACCCAAGTGGGAATGGGTACCCGGCTATAGACAGCAAAAGATCTTGTCAGTTTGTTAGTGTTTGAGCGCTTAATCGGCTGCTTGCACTGTATGCTTCCCGGGAAGCTGAGAATGTTTGGGAGTGTTCTATGGTCTGCTGGGGTAATAATATAGTGTAAAGCGCATAGAGCCTGCTGTTGAGCGGGGATATGCGCTATACAAATGCTATCTATTATTATTATTATTATTATTATTCGCTGACTGACCTTAAAAATTTATATGGAAAGCGGGTGGGATAATCTTTTAAACTGCTGTTATCTTTTATACTTGTCAGTAAATATAGTTCATCAGTTCTATGTAAATTATAGGAATACAACCGAACTCAGATTACTCGAACTCATGGAGGTAATGATTGTGAGGGTCAAGTGGTTCGAAATTATAGTAATCTGAGTGTTTGTGTTACACGTGTTGCCGGGACGTTATGTCCGTACCAGGCAAAGTCACATTTATCATCATTCACATATAAATATAACTAGGATAAATAAAAATTAGTATGTTCACACATGCATGGAATGTCCCCCCAAAATAGCTCTTGTGTTTTTCCAATGTCTTAGTAATTTAACTCTACATTTAACTTGTTTTTTTAATATCAATATTCAAATGTTGTCAAGTTTATTTTTACACGTTTCGGTATACCTACGACGTACGGGTTCGATTCAAACAAGACATTTAATCTTACAAAATAATAGCATTAATTCCGACGTCAGCAGATATTTATGATGTATAGCCAGTAGACCTTCACTTGTAAAAAGGAGTAAAAGCTAGAGTTAAACCCCCTTTCAACATTGTAAAGTTGTTTAAGAAACTAGACATTCAATGTTAATGTCCACATCTGACTGGATCGAGCCAATGAGCTGGAGAGATTAAAAATTCCCAGTACAAGCAACGTTTTAGAATGCCCCCATTTGGGATTCGAGCCAGGGCCATCCACATCAATACCCGGCATGATACCAATTTTGAACCAACGTCACGCAGATCAAAACAAATTAACACAATATAATAGACGCGCTTTCATTATATATGATACCTTATTATATCTTCTACTTTTTCTTGTATAAATGTTATGTAAATTGCGCATAATGCATACATTTATCACTTTGCATGCTCTACTGTCTTGAAGTTTTTTTTGTCGTCTTTCGATTTAGATAGTCTCGGGAGAAACGCAAAACTGCGCATGGAGAGTTTCAGGAATGTCATAGGGCAACGAACAGTCCATAACTCTGTCATGATCGTTCTAACCCGTCGAGATGTTCATTGGGATCCAAGTTTGTTGAACTGACACGTTGATTTTTGTCGAAACTGAAAGTTAAATCGAGGGCCGTCTACTTAAATACAATTTTAGAAACCTGTAGGAATTGAAAGTGAAATTAAGACTAACTCATGTCGTATCGCACAAAGCGATCAATTCTAGACGAATAAAAATCCGAATTTTATGAAAGTGTCCATTTTGTTCTCTCTCACAGGTAAAGTCGTTATTGTTTAGTCTACATGGTTTAATACTGAAACATTACCTGTTTTTAATATCTATTGATGTTATTCAAATGCTCAACCTACCTAATAAAGTTTCAATTGTATAGCGCCAAGTCTCATTGTGACTCTGGGTCCAAACTAATGCGTTATTTTCTTACGTCGTGAGAAAAAATTGAAGAAAGAAAGGAAACGAAAGAGAAAGTAGGAGAATGAGGTAAAAAAAAAAGCAGCAAGCAAGGGAGAGAGAGAGAGAGA